TATTATGTGTATGAGAGTGCATGCCTGGTAGTCTTATTGTGAAAAAGTTACATCCCAATATTGGACATGCCTTCTGACAAAAAACAAAAAAAGAAGAAAAAGGAAAAGAAGCAGAAAATCTTGGACGTGCCTTTCCTTTTCATCATCGTGTATTGTTTGTTCATGTGTGTCTGTATGAAATTTTTAATACAATTAATTGAAAATTTCAGCCCTTTTATAATACTGCTCATTATTTTGTTAATACTTGATAGTTTATGTTCTCAATAAAAGATTTTGCTTCTTGAATTAATCCTTTTTTTTTTGCTGGTTCAGTTCAAGGAGAAATATGTTTAATTTTTTAGTTATCTGGATATATATGTTGAAGAATTCTGGTTGGATTCATTTATGTTAGGAAGTTATTAAGAACCTACAAAAGCCTGCCCTGTGTGTACAATATGTAGTACTTCAGTTTATCTCAATTTTCAAATCTACGTTCTTTGATCAAATGTGGATGATATGTTTCTTTTTATTTATTTATTTATTTTTTTCAGGAGAGGATTCGAGTAGGCAAGGAACTCTTAGAAGCGAAGAGAATGGAAGAAGAAAATGAAAGAAAACGGTTTATCTTCATCTAGTGATCTTTTGTGTTTGTTTTCCAATCTGCCATTATATGACATCAATGCCCTTTTTTCCTCACATTACTTGGATTCATCTTCCATTGGGATGGAACTGTGATTCTTTCTGATAGGATTATGGCCTTGCGAAAAGCGGAAAAAGAAGAAGAGAAAAGAGCTAGGGAAAAGATTCGTCAAAAATTGGAGGAAGATAAGGTAAAGATATTCAGAGCCACTTTGTTTAATCCTGTACTAAACTAATTAAGACTAAGTTCTTGGCTTTACATGCAATTTGTTAAGTTTTTGTTCTTTTATAATTTGTCTAAAGCTTTCCACTCGGAGACTGGTGAGTCAAACTCACACCTAAATTATGTCTTTTTCTTTAATCAAGTCTGTGAAGCATTATTAGCAGAAGAAACCTTCAATCGAATTAAATGGACAAAAAAGAATTAGTGGAGGCAAACCTTGTTCAAATTCTTGATTGCCAATTAGTTGAGAAAAGTAGGAGTAGTTTATTTTAAGAGCCATTTGGTAGCGGAATGAGTTCTTCAGGAATGAAAGTTCCTTTGTTCATTCCTTGGGGATGAAAGTGAAAACAATATCTCATTCCACTGTTTGAAAATGCTGGGAAGTGATAACCAGGATATACCTGTTATTTCCATTCCCATGTTTAGTTTTTGTAGGTAGTGATGAAAATCAAAATTTGTTCAGTTTTTCACTAATACCCTTATTAAAAATAAAAAATAAAGAAATGCCAAGAGTTTTTATGGAAAACAAAAGGTGGTATTTTAATTTATAATGTGGTTGGTTTAGTCATCAAGAGTGCAATAAATGTATTCCCAAGGCATGGAAATTGCATACCCGAGGGGGTCCAAGGGTTTGATTCCATCCTTCATGGGTGTGCAATTCCTATGTAACATGTATCACATTCCCAGGGACTTGTTTACCATATTTGGAATGACGTACCCATTCCCAAACTTCTAATTCGCGAAACCTAACAGGCCCTAAAGTATGTAAAATTATTAGACCCATATAAGGCTTGACATAAATTTGAACTTTTGATCTATCTTGTAGGCATATAGAGTCTGGATTATTTCATCTGAATTTGTGTTATAAATGCAATGACCATAGGGTTTCTGTAGTCTAGTAAAGCTAAAGCACTGTGCACTAAGTGAATTCCCATAGTGCTTCACATAAACAGCTAGTCTAAGTTTTTTGTTTCCTTTCATATTTTGAACTTTCTATGTTGTAGGAGGGTTAACTAGTGTGGAACAGGTCTATATTTAGATTAGTATAAAGAAGATATCCACCTCCCTCTCAACCCTCTTTTTAAAGTGAATGGAAAGCACTTGCAAGTAACCCGTCTTAAATGTTCACTGGGAAAATTTACTTGTTAATTACATGACTTGACAACTAGGATCGACAAGTCAGTTAGTAGATATAGTACCATGACTTTTCTTTTAGTTTGCTGATGTTGTTTTGAGTTCTCGCTCTTTAATCCTGTGTACATCTTGTCCATTGTTTTGTACTGCTATCTCTTATTGAAATTTGTTTCCTATAAAAGAAAGATAAAGAAAAAATATATATATAATACACACCTAAAAGTACCTCATTATGCTGTTTTAGAACTTGCTTCCCCCTTTTATCAGTTTGTTGTATCTGTTTCTTGATTTTTTAATAATAGTAAATAAGTTTTCTTTTTCCTTATCTGTTTGTACAGGCAGAAAGGAGGAGGAGACTTGGGTTGCCACCAGAAGATCCTTCAACTGCAAAACCTGCTGCACCTGTTGTGGAAGAGAAAAAGGCCTGAGCTTGTTTGAATATATTATTTACATGTAATGCCATTCAGAAATTGTTGAAACCTGTACTGATGGACCTTTGTTGTATTAATGGTATCTGACGTACAGAGCTCATTGCCCATAAGGCCTGCTACAAAAACAGAGCAAATGAGAGAATGTTTGCGGTCTCTCAAGCAGAATCACAAGGTAAAAACTGTTACCTGTAATGTCAATAATTCATTAAAAATAAGAAAATAAAATTTCAACTTCTTGATATTGAGGGCCTTTCTGTAGAACCACATACAGGTCTGGTACAAGAGACCAAAAATTAAGTTTTCCTTTCAAGGGGTTCATGATTCTCCTTAGTTTCAACTTTCAAGTGCTCATTTTTGTATTTTTAATGTCACTCATACTGACACTGTTAAGCCATGACCCTAGATACCAGCCATAGTTACTTTTTTAAATAAGAAGGAAAAAAAGATATGTGGAATGCTATTGCTTGAAAAGAAACTGCTCTCACTTTTTATCTGTTCAACGTTTTGTTGTATGGATTGTGGGCAATGGCCTTATTTTCTCTTTCTGTGCGTAGGAGGACGATGCCAAAGTGAAGAGAGCATTCCAGACTCTTTTAACTTTTGTAGGGAATGTTGCCAGAAATCCCGATGAGGAGAAATATAGAAAAATAAGACTCACTAACCAATCTTTCCAGGTAGAACAACTTATCATGCACAGAAAACAGCTATCTGCTGAGAAATCTTTTCCTGTTATATGATTTTATACTCGTTACAAGGTGTTTCGGTTGGACTCAGATGTTAATGGTTTAATGTTGCCTAGACTGTACCCCATTATTGAGCTATATTCTTTTAATGTCCATGTTTCTTGTTTGTTGACATAACTCCTTGTTTGTTTTCTTTGTTATCAATCACTCATTGCGTTAACAGGATAGGGTTGGTTCGTTCAAAGGAGGTATCGAGTTTCTTGAGTTGTGTGAGTTTGAGAGGGTAGAAGGGAGCGAGTTCTTGTTTCTTCCTAGGGACAAGGTTGACATGGCAGTGCTGAATTCAGCTGGGTCTGAGCTAGACTCTGCAATAAAGAATCCCTTTTTCGGTGTTCTTTAAGTTAAAAGATGTTTCATTATATATACAGTTTTTCTTTTTTGGATTTGGTGAGGTGAAATTGATGCCTTGGGGTTGTTTATTACATTACTACACCGTTTTGGCCATTATTAATATATGGTTATGAATTAAGGGATCTTTACCGCTAATTTCATTTAAGATAAACATGGATCAAGAAGGAACACCTTAAAGCAAGGGTGTCGATTTGCACACTTTATATCTTGTTTTGTTTTCTTTGTTATCAATCACTCATTGCGTTAACAGGATAGGGTTGGTTCATTCAAAGGAGGTATCGAGTTTCTTGAGTTGTGTGAGTTTGAGAGGGTAGAAGGGAGCGAGTTCTTGTTTCTTCCTAGGGACAAGGTTGACATGGCAGTGCTGAATTCAGCTGGGTCTGAGCTAGACTCTGCAATAAAGAATCCCTTTTTCGGTGTTCTTTAAGTTAAAAGATGTTTCATTATACATACAGTTTTTCTTTTTTGGATTTGGTGAGGTGAAATTGATGCCTTGGGGTTGTTTATTACATTACTACACCGTTTTGGCCATTATTAATATATGGTTATGAATTAAGGGATCTTTACCGCTAATTTCATTTAAGATAAACATGGATCAAGAAGGAACACCTTAAAGCAAGGGTGTCGATTTTCACACTTTATATTTTGTGATACTACCATGCTTTATATGCTTTGAAGTATTTTGTGCTGTAAATTCCCTGTATGAGGGATAGGATATGTGGGTTTGTAGTACCTCTATAACTTCTTTTTGAGGAGAAGACATTATTAGTCTTTTTGAGGTTTATACTTTTTGTCATTGAATCGTGCACAGGGTTATGTTTACCACTCCCTCCCATTTCGATTTGGTATTTGAGGATTTTCTTCCAAAGTTTATTTGTGTTTTGATTCACAAGTACCCATTAAAGTTAAACTTATTCTGAAGCAAAGCAAGCCATTCATATTGAAACCATTTGTGAAAAAAAGTTATCTGTTTAAAAATAAAATAAATTAAAATCATGTCTACGAAATAAAATTGTGTTGTATTGAATATTCATAAAACAATTTTTGTTTTAAAAAGAAAAAAAAGGGAAAAAAATAGAGCTTTAAAATGTATCTAATTCTTGGTGGGCGGTGGAATTCGAGGAATAAGTTTTTTATTTTATTTTTTTAAAGACAATTCTTAGAATATATATATATAGACCTTCGCATATTGTCCAGCACAAGGTAAGGTAGAACAGCCCACTGCTCATAACAGCGTAGCCCACTACTCAATTCAATTCTCATCACTCTCTCTCTCTTTCACTTCAATTCAACTTTCGTTCAGCGTCCCAAAAAAATAAAGAAAGAAGGAATTAAGATTCTTGGCTCAACTTTCTTCTTCCTTCAAACTAAAACCTGGTTCAGTTCTTCTTCTTGCGGGTAATTTTAATCTTTAATCTAGGGTTTTAGAAACTTCTTATCAGTTTTCGTTTTAAATTCTGCCCCTTTCTCTTCAATTAGTCCTTTACTTGGTTTTCAAGTTAAAAAGTCTTCTTCTCCTAACCTGATATTGATTTACCTCATTACGTGTTTGCAGATCAAACTCATTGAATTTGTCTGAGGCTGAGGGAATGATGTTTGGGTATTTAGGTATTTGTGCAGAGAAGCTTTGTTTATTTTGCGCAAGAGTACGAGCATTCATTCCACCGTTTTTGTCTTCTCTCTTTTCTTGGAACTTCAATGGCCAAAAATATCTAACCCACCTTCAGAAGCTTGACCAGGTATGATTTTTATAGCACGATAATCTATCACTGTCAGGGTACGAATGAATATCTATATATATATATATTCTTTAATTTTTACTCATTAAATTTGTTGGATTTCTCAGTTCATCCTGTTCTTAAAAGTTTACTGAAAATATTGATTACATCATGGTGGTTTTAGATTGCAAGATTGAAAATGAATATAATGAAGGAAAAAAAAATTTTATTTGAGGTTGCGAGTTGAGACTAGATTGGCTGTGTTGAATTTCCTTGTGCTGTCTTTGGTATGCATTTTGGTTATGTATTATACATTAATATATGAATAAGCCGTATTTCTGGATTTCGTTTCTTGTAGATTGATCAACCAAGATGGGAGGACTTACCTCTGGACTGTTTGGTGATTGTGTTTGGAGGAGTTGGTATGAGGTCGTTGCTCTTAAATGTTCCTTTTGTGTGCAAGTCATGGCACAGGGCGAGCCTCGACCCTTCATGCTGGCAACGTCTCATTTTTATTGACACTGAAACTGAGATGGACCTTGAAACTCGTCAATTTTGGTGTTGTGATAATGAAATTGAAGCTGATATTGACATTGAATCTGATCGTCGCTGTTTTGAGGCATTGATGAATAGATTTGCATGTCAATATGGAATGGATGATAGTTCTTTTTCTGACACTGGATTTATAAAGTTCGTATTCAATCGTAGCAGAGGACATGCAACTTTCCTGAGGCTACCTGGAGTCTGTCCAGAAGCTGCAATGAAATATGTTGGGGATGTGTAAGTTTTCTCCAAATCATTCCAATGTATTTTGATGTCTATAGATAGAGAGAAAAGAGTGACTCTTTGGTTAAGCTATATTTTCTATGACATGCACTTCGACATTAAAACCATTTTATAGTCACCTGAAAAATGAGTCTTGGTGAACTTTTATTTGCAGGTGTCATGGACTCAAGGGTTTGTCTTTGCCTAGACGTTTACTGCTTTGTTCACCAAGCATCGTTGCAGAACTGATTGGTAAGTGCAAACATTTGGAGTTGTTGTCTGTTGGGGGCAGCCATAATTTCGAGGAGATCCTTTTGCAGTTCAGCATGGGCTGCTGCAAGAATTTTCTCAACATGGATGTGCCAGCTGCTTTAAGGAATAGGGAAGGGAATAAGAATGTTCCTGATATTATTCCTAATGTTAGCTTCTTAAGCAGCTATAATTTTGAGGAAATCTTTTCACAGATCCACATTCACTGCAAGAATTTTTGTGGTTTAAATGTGTCGGGTGCTTTAATTAGAAGAGAAGATGTGTTGGCAATTGTCAACTTGCTTCCTCATATTAAGTACTTAATCTTGAGGAAGTCATTTATTGATCGGGATGATCTTGCCACATTACTTCAAGGCTGCGAAGAACTTGTGCTTTTGGATGCAAGGAATTGCTGTGGTTTTGATGAAGGTGATGTTGAAATATCAGTGCTTGCTTCTCATATTGGTAAGTTCAGCTGTGAGGGTTCTAGAAATGTTGACCCTCTTCTGTGGTTGCGTAGTCACAAATATATTTAGACATTGATGTGAGTGTGCTTTTCAAGCAAAGCAAAGCATACCCTTATTAGCTCAAGTGTTCCTTGTCCAGTTCTTTCTTAACGGGGTTCGATATTTTAAATGCTCTTTCCATGACAACGAAGTGATTGATGGTTGAGATTGAGAATTGTTTCCATCGGGTAGTGACAGTTGAGAATTGTAATTCTGGCAACATTGCATTCAGTTTGTTGGTAGGTTTGAAGGGTTTATGTAATAGGATACAGACTTGAACCTTGGGTTGTGTAATTGTCTAATATAATAGATATTATTGTCTGATAATCTCTTCTTTTATTTTATTCTTAGTAATGTAGCCAAAATTGTATTGAAGTTTATGCTCCTGCATATAAGTAAGTCCCTTTGTCTGCAAGTCATGGTTGAGTTTTGTTGTTGTTGATAAAAGCTTGGGGAGGCTGGAAATTGAACCTAGCACCTCGGGTGCAAGGCACGTGCTCGTAGCCACTTGAGCTACAAACTCCTTGCAACTTGGCATGTCTTTAGAGTTTTATTTATATTTTATTTTAGTTTTGTAAATTTCTACAGAACAAACTGAGCACCTTAAGAAATTAAAATCATTTCACCTGGTTACAAGTTACATGCCTCTAAACCCCTCATGATGGGCTCTGCCACCATTAGAAAAGAACTAGCAAAGACGAGATGAAGCCAGGCAACAAATGAGGTTCTCCATCTATATCATCCCATGATCTCTTCAAACCAGCCTCCTTACCATGACCCAGGGCGGTTAATCAGCTTCACAAATCCTGGAAGTGCTTGCACACCATCTGCTGAGAAGGCTGCAATAAACTCCTCTAAGATACTCAGTAAGGGCGTTAGAACCATTTTCAGATCAGCCACCCACTATATATGCCTTAAAAAACCATAATGTTCACCTTCCCGATCCTCCGTAGGCCAAAATCTTAGGCTTATAAGGGGTTGCACAGAATGCGAAGAAGTCCCATCACTCGGCCATTTACCAAATCTTAGGCTTGTTCATTTGGAAGGTATGCATAAGCTTAAATGTGTGGGAGCTGAGTTTTATGGTACGAAAATGAAAGAGACGGGTGGCTTTGTTTCCAGCACTGAAAAGCTCAACTATTGATTGAATATTGCCCAGCTCTAATTAAATGGGGGGAACTGCCAACGGTTGACAGTTTGGGGTTGTGAAAAGCTGAGGCATTTACCTGATGGGCTACACTACACAAACTTTGTATGCTTGAGAAATTAGTTATGGAGAGGTGTGCAAATTCAATTTAGAAGTATGTGAGGCACGTAAACCGACAAACATTACATCCAAATTTGGTAGCGTGGTTCTAAAACACAAGATATTATTTCTTTATGAGAATATTCAAACCCACAGATTAAACAAATGTGACTTAAGGTTGGCAATGGTCCTGTCGTGTCAGGTTGGAATAATAAACGTGTCGTGTCTAGTTCGGGTCATCTTAATCAGGTTACCTGGTTAATAACCTGTTTAATAAAAAGTGGTAGCAACTAATAAAGCAACATCAATATGTACAAAGAACCATAAACTTCGATGACCCGTGATTAAATTTCATAAATAATAACATATATGTTACAAAACTCACAATTGAAAAAATTTATTTAAAAAAAACAGAGAGAGGAGAGAGGAGAGAAAAGATAAGGAAAAGAATGAAAAAAAAAGAGAGAGAGAGGAGAGAAGAGAGAAGGAAAAAAAAGGAAAAAAAAAAGAGAGGAGAGAAAAGAGAAGGAATAGAAAGAAAAAAAAAAGAGAGGAGAGAAGAGAGAAGGAAAAGAAAAGAAAAAGAAAAGAGAGAGAGGAGAGAAAAGAGAAGGAAAAGAAAGAAAAAAAAGAGAGAGAGTAGAGAAGAGAGACGGAAAAGAAAGAAAAAGAAACATTACAAATATCAAAAGGCGTAGCATATAATCACAAAGTTGTCTATAGCGTAGTGAATAAGATGTTGGAGAGAAATGAAAATGGAAGTCTCCATTTCCCTACATTTTTTAGCGGGTTGACAGGTATTACACAGGTTGACACAACCTGTTTAATAAAGGAGTTAAACATGTATTTTAATGGGTAGTCAGATTGACTCGAAACCCACCCGTTTAATAAACGGGTCATAACGGGTTGACCCAAACATTACCCAATTATTAATCGTGCAGGTTCAGGTCAAGTTTAATTGCTTTACGCGTGTTCAATGTTTCTAGAACAAAAATCAAGGAATTGCCAAAATCTTTTAGCAAGCTTTATAACCTACAAATGCAACTTGAGGCATGTTTATTTTGACAAGTATGTGGAAGTTGCATTTGGGATGAGACAATTGACTCATTTGCAAACAATACCTTCCTTAATTTTAGATAACGAAATGATGCAGTGAGATATAAGAGATAGGAGATCAAACGATAACTCTACAAGTAATAATGTCGGAATCCACCAGAGAAATTGAGCAAACCTCAAATATATTGATTGAAAATAAGATGAATAAACTGACAAATACAACGCCATGAGTTGGCTTAAATAGAAAACAAAGAAACCCTAAACCTTAGGAAGCCCTAGGTTCTAGAATATTCCTAAACTTAGCTAACAAGAAAATAAAAATTATATTAGGAAAATAATATCCTAATAGATAACTTATTCTTCAAAATATAAAATAAAACATTAAATTAAATACAAATTTTGACAGAATCATAATTGCTTCAAACTTCCTCAATCAATTAGAAAATCCCAACAATACGCATTCCTTCTTTTCCTAGCGTCATAATTGACATTTAATTGGAATTATCCTCTCTTGCACGATTTCCTTCCAACTTTGAGCAACTTTATTTTAATTAATTTTTCATACCATAATTGACCCATATTTTGTCATACATCAAGAAAGGAATTATGGAATTGACGAAAAAAGTGGCTTAAACCAATTAGAAGGTGAACTAAGTAGTAGATTTTTGGATCATGTGAGAGACAAAGATGAAATACAGGAATCTAATTTAGCTGGTTATGCAAATATACAAGGGTTGACGTTACAGTGGGGTTATTACAGGGAAAGAAACGACAAGGGCATGGATGTATTAGAAGGCCTCCAACCAAACCCTGAGTTGGAAATCTTAGAAATTGTCAAAATCATGAGTGCTAAATTGGCATCATGGATGATGAGTGGCTTGTTGTTGTTGCCACTCAATTTGAAAGAGATTCGGTTATCCAACTCAGCCATTTGCCAAACCTTAGGCATGTTATATTCCAAACGCAACCTCTGCCTGAAACAACTTCAGAACCTCTATTAACTTCGTGTTTTAAAAGCTTTGCTAGTGTTCAAGAAATTTTTGTTTATCAATTCATCTCTCCAACAACAATATGAGAAACTGCTTACCACTAAATGTATATCTATGCAACATTTTACCAAATTACAACTGTTGTGTGCGGCGGAAGTGGATTGCACTGTATGGTGGATATGAAACCATTGAAACAACAATAGCAAAATATGAAATACAGAAATCCAAATGACACTAACGATTTATACTGGTTCAGCCCGTGTGTAGTCTACATCCAGTTCGAAGATAGCGAGAAATTCCACTAGTATCCCAAAAGAAATTACAACCAAATGAAATTAACCCTCTCACCTATCCTAGGAATTACAGAGTTTAACTCTCACAGCCCAAATACCAATTACACTCAAGTCACTCTCAAGCTAACCACACACGAGCCAAGAACACAGGGATTGTTCTTGCTCACTATGAAATGACACACTAAGAACAATACAAAGAAATAAACCTCCCACAAACACAAGGAACAAATGAAGAAGACTCAACCTTTGAAATGGCTTGATCTTCCCTCAACATCTTGTGTAGCCAAAGAGGAGTTTATCTCCACCATCATGGTGATGTTCTCTAGTGTTTCTCTCCATGTGGAAGTGTCTCTCACTTCTATTTTAGCCTATCTGAGCAATGGTGCTCACGGCACCTCTTTGGCCCAGTCAACTGTTAAGCTCATAATTTCATACATATACATGCCCTATTTACTTACTTCTTTTGCTTAGTTTCCTAGATTTCTATGTTATTTGCCTCTCTTTGTGTGTTTTGTAGGCAAAAAGAGTAAGATAGCATAATTCATGCAATTCAAGCATGTTAAGGCCTAATTTGGATGAATGGATGAAGAGCTTAAAGACAAACTCATTTTGTCTACAGCCCCCTGCCAGTCCAGTTCCGTAGGTCATATTGCAAGCTTTGTTTCAACAACCTACATAGCTCGAATGAGGCCACATTCTTCATGAAAGTTGTTCCAATTGGTGTGTACTATAACATATTCAAAATTCAGCCCCATTGGATAAATCTGGAGTCCGTTACCTAGCAAACACAGAACCATGCTCAGGATGGATCTTATCAGCGCGGAAAATGAGTTAGCAATTTGTTTCGGCCTTAACTTCTTCCT